GGCCCAACCAGTTATTAGGTTTAGGGGGCAAACACTTTTTCACACAGGGCCATGTAGTTTTGGATTTTGTTTTCCATTAATAATAAAAACCTTCATTTAAAAACTGCATGTTGTGTTCACTTGTGTTATCTTTTACTAATATTTAAATTTGTTTGATCATCTGAAACATTAAAGTGTGACAAACATGCAAAAAAATAAGAAATCAGGAAGGGGGCCAACACTTTTTCACACCACTGTATATATAATTCTTTCTATTCATCAAAAAAACTGAAAAATGTTAAGTAGCACAACTGTTTTCAACATTAATAATAAGATATAATGCTTGAACATTTGAAAATATTTTAAAATATATTAACTTTTGAATATTTTGTAAATGTAGCTTTGCCATCACAGGAATTAATTCCAATTGTAAAAGTTATTTCATATATAAATTGATCCATTTGTGCTTTTTGTATAATAAAAATTATACAAATCTTTAAGAAGTATACAAGTGAGTGCGGATCCCACTTTTTTCATTTTAAAATATATTAAAATAGAAAACTGTTATTTTTAATTATAATAATATTTCACAATATTACTGTTTTACTGTCATTTTGATCAAACAAATGCAGTCATGGTGAGCATAAGAGCAAAAACATTTTTCAAAAACATTTAAAAAAATCTTTTGAATGGTACTGTACATGAAGCTCATTAAATGCACAGTGGAAGAAAATTGTATAATTTAACACAATGCATTTAAAAAAGCCAACATAGGGTCATTTGGAACATTTCAAACAGTTACATTTCTTGGCATTTACTTGCTAAAAGACATGCAAATTACAAATAACCAAGGCCAAATTGTACTGTATGTTGTTGCTTTGGTAACGGATTCTGAAGTACATTATACTGAGGTTGCCAGAGTAACCTTGACAAACATTCTGTTCCAAAGCCTGTACATCCTAATCTGGCACATATCTAATTCACAGGCAGTGCGCGAAAGCTGATGTGAATAGATATTGAGCGAAATTGCCGACACATTATACCCTTAGTGCAGCAGTGAGCGTTTATTTAATAGTTGAAAAAATAAATGAGATAGAGAAAGAGCGAGGGACTGAAAGGAAGTGACATTCACTGTTGGCATGATAAATAACATATGATGCTATATTAATGGATTCTTCCCAGACATCTTTTAGCCAGTCTGATTCATGGGATCTCATGGGACCAACACATCGGCCGGTACCGGAAAAGGTGTGAGGTTTTCACATGTCGTGAGTAGCAGCTGCTATCTTGGCTTTTTGGTTTTGCACATCTGCTCCTGGCTCTGATCCAGGACACCTTAAGAGGGTCCACTAGCATTTGGGTTACAGACACCGCACCTACATGTTAGCCAGTTAATTAAATGACCGCAAAACAGAAACACATGGGACAGTGATGATAATGAGCCACAACAACATGAATGCACCTTCACAAGGTCAAATGTTGTACTCGTCCTCAAAGCAAAGAGATTCAGCCTATCAAAGGGTACCAAATAGGACATTTCCCAGGGAGTCAAAATCACCAAATGGCATCTAAGACACAATTATATGACCTTCACAAGGTGACTGAGAATGCAGGCCGAAGCTGAAATTCAAATATGAAATGCTTAGTCCACAGAAAAATGCCAGACTTAAAATGTTAATCCTATGAATGGTCTTTAAAAAGATGAGGAAACAGACAGAGAAGCAAAAGATCTGACATTGTGAATGAAGTTGCATGAGAGAAATGTCAAAGCTGCTCCAGGGACCCTTTGCATGCTGTGAAGCACTTAACACTGAATGTTCATAACAGTCACATCAAAAATACAGTACAACCCTTCTGCCATGGTTTAAATATCACCTTTTCTCAACATAAAACATGCATGTGAAGTTAAGGGCTGAAATACCAGCTTCAAGAAATAATGAAGATAAACTAAAGCAAACCAAGAAGCATGTAAAATATCTTTAGAATGACAATTGCATTATAAGTTCCTGATTATGGCACATCATGTACTGTTAAAAAGTGAAAATGTGCAATTGTAACCTTTAAATGTTAGCTCTTTCTATCTGGTCAGCCCATTAAAAATAACATCCGTTAATGAAACCGAATGTAGTCTGGTTGATTCAGTCATATAAAATATGTTTGCTCTGAATAATTCACTAAATAATTGATCCAGTGTCCAACTCAGAAAAAAAATTCAATATTATTGCAATATTATCAACTCAATCAAATCCTTCAACAGATGTCAAATATTACAGCTCAAAAAGCTACAGGTTTGTTTATTATTGCTTGTTTGGTCTCTATGAAATCTAAAAAAAACAAACAAAAAAAAAACAAGTAGCAGTCCTGACACTCAATTATGATTCAAAGACACCAGAGATGAACAGAGCTTTCACACAGTGCCAGTTCACCATCTGCCCAGAAAACTTGACTCACCTCAATACCAAAACTGCCTCTGATTAAGAACAAAATAAAGGGGTGTTTCGCACCCGGTTTAATTCATTAAATGCATTTTTACTAGTCTTCCACTCTGTTAACCTATGAACAACATGCAGTGTACGCAAGACGCCTCGCTGTTACCTCCACGGATCGCACTCAGCGGGCATCACAAGCGAATCTTCTGGGTGACTGTTCGCACAGCTCCTTTTCTTCTCCGTTAGTTGTACACGGACCGGACACATCCACAGTGCGCAAAGGCAATTCTAAACCATACTTTTCCGGACCCATTTACAAGAAAATATCTAAAGGCATTTTACGCTGACGTCCCAGCAAAACTCGAGTGAAATCCCTGCCACTTGCGTTTCCACGGACAGCACAGACGAACAGCGTGGAGTGCGGACTTGTAGCCTACCGTCCCCTCGCCCCTGGAGACTGGAGTGACAAGCCATAACTCACACGGGCCATACATCACTAGTCCTTCAAATATCACCTTGCTCTTACCGTGAATGAACACCCCGAGCCACCAATACTATTTAAACACATTTAGCATCGCTGTAAACATTTTGTCAAAACTTAAAAGTAACTAAAATGGCAGTTTAATTAGATTAGGTTTAATCTGCAAGCCTGTGTATAATGTATTGATATCGCAAAATCAACCCTAACTCCTGAACGACTTTATTTATCAAGATGAAACTTACTGAACATCCTGGTTGTTATATGACTACTTAAAATGGATTTTTGTTGAGCTTTTATTTGATAACCTGAAGTGACCGAACACAAAGCAACCAAACAAACAGGTTTCCGGTCGAGTGGTCAGTTATTCAGGCTACATTATTAAATATTTAATCGTTTTATGTTGTGATTGACCAATATAAATCACGTATTCTAGTTTTATAATTATGGCCAAAAAAAGCAAACTAAGATTGAAGTGAATTGTCCAAACATTATTAGATTCATTACTACCAACCTAACTTTTTTTTGTCTGATGTAGAATTCCCTGGAAAAAATGCCACTTGATAAAGAACGTGTCGTCAATATCCATCTACGCTGTTAAATGCACCCTATTCCTTTCACAACAGGTGCCATAACCCAATTTTTATTCGTCTTCTGAAGACTCCATACCTGCATATATAGGCAAAGACATCCTATGAAATCCACTCACCTCCTCAAAGACACTGTTTCTTAATTCAGTCTCAGGTCGTTTATAATGCCAGTGTTGTGAAATGTTCTCTTTCGGAGTTATGGTTGTCGTTAGTCTCATATGTAGTATGCTGAACAGACTAATTCAGAAGAAAAACAACGACATTTTCAGTTGCCCCAGTTATCTCCTCTCGGTCCCGTTGGCATGTGACAGCCCCATTGCCACCGCAGTAGAGTTTTTGAAGATCCATCAGGTGAAATGCTTGTTCCAAAAGCCACTGTCGTATTTTTTAAAGTTTAACCATTTAATAGATTTGTTCGGAAATACCCCCGTCTCGCGCTCGCCTCGTGCGTAACAGGCGTTCTCCGCCGCGCGCCCAATGATGTGTTGCATTTAAAGTCCTTGCCGAATGCACCCGGACAGATTTATAGCGTCTTAAAAATGGAGTCCCCCTTCACTTGTGTCTCTTGCCGAAACACGCCGGGAAAAAAATCTCCTAAATCTTTTCTCTCGCAATAAATCTGCTGTGCTGATAACGTCTGAGATGGGCGCACAGCCATTGAACGGCTGGAGTGGTACAGCCGATCTGCTCCAGAAAATTTCCCTCCTTCAGAGATCTGGCAGGTGTGTCAGAGAGAGTGGTGTAGGGTGGAGTTAAATATAGATCAGTAATGTATCACTATTAGCAGACAGAGACAAATTGCACACATTTCTGCTGTTCATATAATAAGGGTTATAACCTGACGGAAAGAACACGTAGAGGAGCGTCCTTTTGCTTCTATGAATCTATCTCTGTGTATTTTGCTATTTTTGCAAATTTTATATATTTCAATATCAATCGGGTATAAGTTGCAGTAGTTGACATGCTGCTAGCATTTTGTTACCAGCTCTGTCATTGTACATTCATCAAAATATAATATGCCAGATATGAATTTTTACTTCTTACCACAAAATGTATAACTGAGGACACTGAGAGAGTTACAACTCATGTTACATCACTCCTAAATCTATAGACTACTGTGTGGACGCTGGCGGGACGTGCTCAACATGTTCTTGCACCTGCTATGCATAAATGACATGGAGAGTTAGACTATTCTGTACTCATAGCATCCAAATTTTACCATAGTCATTCAGAGATGATAGTTCAGAACACAGGGTGCATAACTGTTTGAAATGAAAAGTCCAGGGCAGCCAACTCCCTACAATTATGTATAATAAGCTGCTTTGGTTGAAAAATGGCAGTGATTCTCCTAAATGGCAGTACAGAGGCAAAAATGTCAAAAGGATGACGTTGACCATTGTGCGGTTCATTAAGGTATGCTGGAACTCTTGTATTCTACCTGTTGAACATTGCAAGGTTCAGATGACATGGGTGCCTGTCAGACACAAACCAGCTAATTTTTCATACTGAATGATTAATTCAGTATTTCAGAATTTTATGCTGCATTTTCTTTCTTTCAAAAGTGGCAGAATTTCATCATTACCCCTCTTTTATTCTCAATAGGCTGTGGCTGCATTGCCCAAAGATGTAATGTTCATGCATTTTCAATTATGTTGTATTGTTACTAATTAAAAATAAGATCATTAACACAGTCTCAAAGGATAAATATGCACTGCCTAATAGTTTGTGACAAAAAAAGAAAATATAACAGTGTTATAAAAGTGTGAATGAATGTCAATGATAATTACTTTAGTTGTTTTTTCATTTGAAGTTTATTTGAAATTTATTTGGTCCTCTAAGAACCTATGAAGGAAGCAACACAAAGGCATTAAAAAGCTTTTATCTGTTTAATTGGCAACTGAAGCTGTGTTGGCATGAAGAAATCAGTTCAACAGCAGTTTCACAAATGACCTTGAGATGGCATTGAAGTGCTTGCTTCCACTGCAGAGGGGAAATGATCAACCTATGCCACAGTCTTCACGTGAATGTTGACTAGAACAACCCTCTTAAAATTAAAGGTTCTTTATTGGCATTGATTGCTCCATGAAGAACCTTGAACATTCATGGAACCTTTAAACTGCACTAAAGTTTCTTTAGAGAGGAAAAAGATTCTTTAGATTTTTAGAATGTTCCTCACACTAAGAAAAAAGGTTCTTATATGGAAGTATATTAAGATAAATTAAACAATAAATGTTTCATAAATTGACCACATAGTTATTGATTCACCACATTTATAACAAAGGTCAAGCTACCATCAAGGAGTTTCAAATTTCAATAGAGAATCTATGTGCATATTTCATGAGGTCATTTTAAGATTTATGTATTAAACAACTCCATGTGAATGAAAAGTCATGGCTGGTTTGACAAAGGCTATTCCATCCCGTTTCATCCCAAAACAAGATGTAACATATGGATGCTGTCATTACCTCATAGATCAGGTCTAATTCAATTCATCCAGGCTTCATTAAAATGCTTCAAGGCCTTTGGAATGGAAATTACTACCCCTCCCAAAAATGTGCTAAATCTGCAAGTCATATATTCGGTTCTTCTTTTTGCATTATTTCTATTAATATATACACTCAATCTTCTATCCCTGAGCGGCAATATAGCAAAAATTACACAGACATTATACAAATGTAACAGAGTCTAATGTGTATTCCTGTTTAATTAGTTCAGAATGAGATCATATCAGTAAACAAAGATGAATGGAAGATTTTACATGTAGCCAGATATTACAAATGAATGCAACAAAAATGTTAATCATAAAGTTTGTTTTAAAATGAAAAGATAAGATCATTTTAAAACAAGAAGACAATTATCTTAACAAATGTACCATTTATCTGTCTTTATCCATCTCTGCAAGTAAAGTCGAGCACCAAAAATGATACAGTACATAAAAACAATATTTGCTATGGAGCCCTTTTAATTTTGTGAAAGTGGGTCTTGTTACTGTCGCTTAATAAAAATGACACAAGCTCACTGCAAAAGATAAAGTGACAACATTTAAGAGATTTCCAGAGATTTTCATGGGAAATGTGGAGGAATAACAAAAAGACCTTCAAGGAGGTGAAACTATTTTTCTTTCTACAAATCCTGAGATCATCCATTTTGTATTTGTTGGCTAATATCAAACTGTTTTCTGTTTCTATTGCCATTTCATATCACATAATATTTTTCAGAAAATGCCAACATGTTTAAAACAAAGAGCCAAATTATTATTCAAAAATACATGCCTATTTGATTAAAATTAAGTATTATAAGTACCTATTTAAAGGCAATACGTTCAAATTAATTATAATAAATTGATAATTAAATTATTTTTAAATTAATAATACTATTAAAAACATTTTTGAATACCTGTTCACTTTGGATTAATTACTGTAATAAGATCTTTGTAATTTAGCAGATCTAAAGCAATTCATTGTTACTTGCATAAGTCTCTTGTGACAGGTCAGCATCTCTACATTTCATGAACTGCCACTTCTAGGTTTGCCCTACCACTACACTACACCAGATAAACATGATGTAACATGTCCAGTGTTGTAAAAGCAACAAGAGAAATGTTACATGACCTATGGACCTCTCAACAATTGCTATAATGGAGCAGATAGGAGGCCTAGCAAAATTTATATGCTGACAGCATGGATGCAGGCATGTTCATTCCATACCTTGCACAGCTTTCATTCACCATACAATCCCCCTGACGGGAAAGTGAATGAAGCGTGATGTTGATTGTGAATTTCATACACTGACGAACTGAGCTCTTATTTGCATGCAAATTGCTGTCGGGATGAGATGCTTTTTACACGCCAGTCACAAAAATGGATACAATTCTTAAGTGTGTGTAATCCTGACTGCACACAACATATTCCATAGCATTACAACATACTTGAACTACATGCAACCCTATTTATTTAGTTATTTGGTTATTTTTGCTTTGTTTGTATTTTAGAAACTGGGCCAGGGTCCAAATGTTCCTTTTGGGGGCATTAACAGGAAGTTGGCTTAGATTTTTGGTAAAATATACAGAAAGTCATTGCACATTATAGAGCCCTACAACACCCTTGAAAATTTCTCTTCACTTGCTAACCAACTGTAAAGGCCCCTCTCCCCTTGTTACTACTCGACCCACGATCACTACCAGCATCCATCTGTTTATTTACTTTTTCTGCCATCACTGAAATTAATTCGCCTGGATTCAACACAGAAGAAAGTCTGCTGAGCCTTTGCCCTTGAGCCAGAAAATTCAGTTGACTTGCTTCAACACATATACTGTACATGTTGCAGAAATGAATTATGTATCAAATGACTAACAAAGTGCAGCATTACTGATTGAGGGTAAAAAAAGCAAACCAACAAATACATAAATAGCTAAATATAGTCATCAAGTAAATGAATAATTCTAAGATGAAAGTTATCTGTTCTCAATGAACAGAACATTTATCCTTACACAAGCAACTTTCTAGGGATAAAGATGAAATAAAACCACACAGGTAACATAATGTAGCTCTAAAAAACATTTGGGAGGATCATGTTTGTCCATCTGATCATGTCAATCACAACACAAGAGAATATAAACAACTGCTTACTTCAGTCCCGTGACAATATACTGTAATCCACATTTTTCTAATCACTCCAATTTCCAAAAGTGCTGAAATAACAATACCACTGGGACTTGTCACTGTTTGTAACACTCCACGTAAACTCACAATTGAGACAAGATTGGAATAAAAATACATGGAATAAAAAAATAAAAAGTAATTTTACAACAATTTACAATTCACAACTCACAATTCAGTTTTTTTTCCTCAGAATTGCAAGAAAGTGTCAGAAATGTGAGATAAAACATTTTCATTTTTTATTCCGTATCTGAAATAAGCTTCCAAACAGACTAGTCTGTGCATTAGTGGTGAGGATATTCAGAGGTTACATCATTGCGTGAGTAGGTGGCAACACTGGTTACGTCATCGTCACCGAACAGAAGGAGACCACAAATGGAATAACTGGTAAGTGAAATGGTATTTATTAGCAACAGGAATGGGGTGCAGAGGAATGGAGAGTCAGCGGGTGAGTCTCTACTTTATTGGTGCTATCGTCAACTTAGCTTGGTGAGCTAACA